CTGGTGAGCTTAGCGCAATGGGAAGGGATGGGTGGGATGCGCAGGGTGTCAGATCTGGCGCGATCGCACCTAGCTTGTCCCCCCTTCCACATCCGCCCTTCCCTGCTCCCTGCCCCCTCCGTGCCGCTTCCATCGTAAGTGTTCCGTGAGAATGTAGGCCCCTCTTGGGAACACGCTCACCTTACCCCTGGTGGCTGCTGCACCTCTTGATTGGGCACTCTATAGTCTTGCCCTTCACGCACGTATCATACCAGCTGCCGTCTCTACAGCACGTTCTGAAGAGTCCCAAGGCTCATATGTGAGAGTCCAGTCGGGCTCTGGAGTTTTACAGGACCTGACCACCAACTTGTTTAAATTCCTGGATGCTGCGTTGCGCTCCTGGGCATTGCGGGGTGTTGCGAGGGCCTTCTGCGTTGGTTTGCACATTCACTGCAGGATCATGGCAAGGCCTGTGCAAGGCCGCTGGGCATGGTCTACGTCCATTGAAGGGGTCAGCGAGGCTCTCGGGAGAGAGTACATAGGGAGAGGGGGAGAAAGGGGGGGTCCTCTGAACCTTCAAAGTGATGTCTGGGCTGTCCACGTCATCAGTATATCGGATTCGCCTACGTGTAAACATCATTAAATCGCCATGGTGCACGTTCGACGCCGACACCAAAGAAATCGTCAACTACGCACGCCCAGGCATATTCATGTAACCGACGATCGTACAGTTCGGGAGAAACTTTCCAGAGCGCTATCGCGACGAGGGCTCGACAAACTGGCCAAAAGCAAAGGCTTGGAATCAACAGTCAAGATGGCAGTGGAACGATCAAAATTGATCGGCGATGTGAACATGAGTCTGTCGTTCAAGCCAAACAGCCTGCACCACTGCCAACGATGAAACCCAGGATGACAAGCTCCACGCTCATTCCGTGTCCTCCTCCTTCTCCTCCTCCTCATGATCATCCTCATCCTCATCCGCATCCTCATCATCATCATCATCATAATCCGCCACCATCATCATCATCATCATCATCATCATCATCATCATCAGCATCAGCATCAGCATCATCATCATCATCAGCATCAGCATCAGCATCAGCATCATCATCATCATCATCATCATCATCATCATCATCATCATCATCATCACCACTCGCTCCCGTCTTACCTTGGCCCCTCCTCCCTACCCCCCTCTGACCATCCCCCTCTCCCTTATACGCCTCTCCCAAATATGATTCCTCGTCAGAGTGGCGCCCCCCGTTTCCATCGTCGTCGTCGTTGTCGTCGTTGTCGTCGTCGTCGTCGCCGTGCTCGTCGTCGTCGTTGTCCCCCTTGAGGGTCGGCGGCAACAACCGGAAGGCCTTGCCTTCGCAATCATATTCCTCGTCCTGCTGACGTCCCCCAACCCCTGTGTCCCGCATCCTCCCCCACCCCCATTCTCATCCTCACCGCCTCTGGTTTGGACGCCCGAAATGGGCACGGAGAGAATGGGCACAATGCCCAACAACAAGTGTTGTCCCAAACCAACAGTGGCCGCTGCTGGGCAGGCGGCCTCCTGTCTCAAATGGACACGGGCCGCGGCGGCGCGGACAGCGAGTCCTGTTCAAAACGAACAGGAGCTGCTGTTGGGCATTGTGCCCATTCTTTCCGTACCCATTTTTCGTTCGTGCAGCCATCAGAGCGCGTTTTCGAGCGTTCCGAAGCCATCTTCGAGTGATCTTGGACGGCCCCTGGCGCTCCAACAAGGCTCCTGGCGCGCGGGGCCCAACATTTGCGGTCGTGGCCCCGGTCCCCGGCCCCCGGACCGGGTCCCCCGTTATGTGTGTGTATATATACACACATGTGTATGTACAAATCTATATATATACACACCTGTGTATATATATATATATGCACATGTGTATATATAGATATGTATACACACATGTGTATATATACACATGTATATATACACACATGTGTATGTACAAATCTAAATATTAATTCTTTCCGTGCCCACTTCGTTCGTGCAGACCTGGAGACACCAAGAAATACCGATACCGCCGCTCCCCGGGACCCCTCCAGAGGTGCGTTCGGCCTATGGGAATTTCGAGGCGACGCCAGCGGTGGCGGCGCGAGCCCTCGAGGCCACAAATATGGAAAAAAAGCGGCAGGGGCAGCGGCATCGCCGTCGGGGGGAGGAGGAGGAGGAGGAGGAGGAGGAGGAGGAGGAGGAGGAGGAGGAGGAGGAGGAGGAGGAGGAGGAGGAGGAGGAGAAGGAGGAGGAGGAAGGGAGGAGGAGGAAGGAGGAGGAGGAGGAGGAGGAGTTGTTTTTGACCTCTACGGATCCACCGCATAGTGCAGCCAACTGCAGGGCGGGACCTGCAAGCTGTGAGGAAAGAGGCGAACAACAGTGCCAAAGTTAGGCACCGTCGCCTGAGACCTCTTCCCATCAGCGCCAAAGAGACAGCTCGGGGCCAAGGCCACACGCAGGTGCCCAAGCACAACGCGCACCTGCCACAACATCTTTAAGAGAGGGGGCAGGCACACGTGACCAAGGAGACCCCGAGCTGCAAGCGCAAAAAGAAAGGCAGCTGCAGAGAGACTGCAACTGGACGCTATCTCGTGCCGACTGCCTTCGACTGTGCAAGAGGGACAACGGACGAGACAGCGTCCTCCCACAAGGGCCGCGATGGCACCGAGACGAGGAGGGCA